TATAAGCCATGTATAGATATAAAAACTCATGGTGCAATGGAAATTTTTTAAAAAAATTATGCCTACTGTGTTTTAATAGCAATTTAAGGTAGTTTGAGAAAACCTTTCAATATACCTTAAAGTAATTCTAACTTTTCAATTATCCCTTTTAAAGGAAACAAGAACCATAATTTTGGATTTGACCCAACTCGAGGTTCAAATACTCCAAAATTAATTGTGAAGAATCCTTTCAATTTTGAGTCTCAAGCTGAAGTGCAGAGGTGGTACCATCTTGTTGTGCATATAATTGATGACAACTTGAAATATGGCAAATCCACCAAGCCCAGAACGGGCACTGCTGTTATAGATATTTATGTGAGAAGAGCCAATATGCCACCTCCTCCAACCACTGGTTCTGAAGTAAAGAGTTATAGAATTTTATTTGGGTCTCTGTGTGGGAAATGTTCTACTGTAAGTTCATGTTTCATCTAAAAAGGCTAAAGGGCTACTCAGGGCAGCACCTTCACCCATATGCTTTTCCACTTGGGCACTATACCATCCAGCACAGGACCACATTTTAGAGTGTACATCTATGAGTATAAATTGTGAGGTGAAACAGAATTTGTGAGAATTGCAGGTAGAGCATAGAGAACTCCTAAGAAACTAATTATGTCGTCTGAATGATCTGAAAGTCCTGCCCATCAGTGAATTCTATCAATTAAATCTAATCAATTAAATCACTCAGTGAATTCTATCAATTAAAAATCTAAAATTCTATCAATTAAAAATCTCTACAAATGGGTATTTTGAAAGTTTATTCTCGTGGCCTGGCGCGATGGCTCATGCCTGTAATCCCAGCACTTTGGGAGGCCGAGGTGGGCGGATCACGAAGTCAGGAGATCGAGACCATCCTGGCTAACATGGTGAAACCTCGTCTCTACTAAAACTACAAAAAATTAGCCGGGTGTAGTGGCAAGCACCTGTAGTCCCAGCTACTCGGGAGGCTGAGGCAGGAGAATTGCTTGAACTGGGGAGGTGGAGGTTGCGCTGAGCCGAGATCGCGCCACTGCACTCCAGCCTCGGCGACAGAGTGAGACTCCATCGAAAAAAAAAAAGAAAAGAGAAAAAAGGTTTCTTCTCTGGTAGCCATGATATTCATAGTCATGAGCATATACCATGTGCCAGGCATTGCACTGCATGTATTATATTCATCATTTCATTTTATCTTCAATCCAAAGCTTACAAAGTTTAGCAGACCTGTTAGTATTGTATTATTTAAAAAATAGGTATGTAAAGCCTCTGCAGAATTCCAGAATGGCTCCTGAATAATGCACAGATAAAGTCTGTTCAGTAAACTTTATGGTTAGTTTATTTTGTTGTTTCCTATCCTTTGAAATAGAAGCATTGAAAAAAACATGGATGGCAAATCCTCTCAACAGAATGCTTGATTTTCAAGAACACATTGTTCTCTTAAGCTGCACAAAAGCAGTTATTGTGTGTAGAGTAGATAATGGAGCATATAAGCTTAAAAGGACCTCAGATACCACCTAGTGAAAACTCTTGATTTTACAAATGAGAAAACTGAAGACAAAGAGGAGAAATGGTTTGTTCAAGATCACAGAGTGGTCATTGCATACAATTCAAGTTTTCACATCCTTAATTTGGGCCTTCCGTATGCAAGGGTGTTCCTGTAGTGTTTTAAAACTACACAGGTCCCAACACCTGTAGTGTTTTAAAAAATATGCATATGTTAGACAATATCTTCCTGTCTGTAAAGGACTATGGCTCTGTACTGCTGCTACTATGTGTAAACAGATGCTTTCTGAAAACACAACTAATGCTCTGTTTCCTTTGAAATGATATTTCTCAGCAAAGAAAAGGTCTGACTATCATGTACACAGCTTAAACACGTACAAATCCAAAGGCTGGTACATTCCTTTTATCTTCACTCTGATGGCTATTTTCTTTGCTGGGTTGATTTCCTGGGTATGTTTCCTGCTTTGGAAATATGGGAACATTATGGAATGCTGTCAGAAAACGACTAAGGAAGTCTCCAATGCCAAACCCAAGTATGTGATTTTTTTTTCTAAGCTTTTGATATAAAGAGCTAAAACCAGTTGAGGTTTGGTAAACTTACTCTAAGGGCTTCTGTATGCTTTTGAAGGACAGAGGAAAGTACTCGGTATACGAAACTTGATGGTTCCTTTTTACCAATGATCTCAAACCTACTCTATCCCAGAAACAGTTGGGGAGCTTTCTTTGAAAAACAGCAGCAACGTGTTATTGAGTTCTACCTTAGAACATATGAAACAGATTCTGTGAGATTATGTTTTTTGTTCTTTCTTTTCTTTCTTTCTTTCTTTCTTTCTTTCTTTCTTTCTTTCTTTCTTTCTTTCTTTCTTTCTTTCTTTCTTTCTTTCCTTCTTTCATCTTTCTTTCTTTCTTTCGACAGAGTCTTGCTCTGTTGCCCAGGCTGGAGTGCAGTGGCACAATCTTGGCTCACTACAAGCTCCGCCTCCCCAGTTCTAGCAATTCTTCTGCCTCAGCCTCCCGAGTAGCTGGGATTACAGGTGCATGCCGCCAGCGCAGCTGATTTTATGTATTATAGTAGGGATGGAGTTTCACCTTGTTGCCCAGGCTGGTCTTGAACTCCTGAGTTCAGGAAATCCACCTGCCTCGGCCTCCCAAAGTACTGGGATTACAGGTGTGAGCCACTGCACCTGGCCGAGATTATGTTTTAAACAAAAATTTGTGAGCCAACAAACAAACAATTTTTTCATATTATTTTGATGCAAGTGGTTTCATAGGTGTTTGATTAGCACCAGAAACTAGTTGAGGGACTGGTGATAAATTAGGTACCCTCTCCACACATCTGACTGGTTTTAAGTCTCTCTGGAGCATGTCTGGAGCAGGGCAGAGAGGCCAAATAAGTGGATAGAAAATATAGCTACTTTCCTCACCATCTAAAAATATCTCTTCGGAGTGCAGAACATCATGACTTCAAAAATGAGTTGGATATGAATGTTTATTAACTAAATAGAATCTGTTTATGGTGCAGTGAAGGATGTGGTGGTGATGGTTAATGAAGACCATTTTATTCTTCCTTATACTGTATTTCTTTTTTCTTGGAGATGGGATAATCATGTACTGACTATTGAATGAAATTATTTTTGTCATCTGGTAACATAATAAAGCTGATATTTTGTCAAATTTTCTTTTCATACAGAGGAATTAAGTATATTGTAGGTAAGATACAGATTGTTAATTGTTACATGACTATGCTTGAATTGTGTGATTTTTAAAAAGCCACTCTTCAGATACTTGACTTTTATTTATTTATTTTGTAATAGGCAAAGGAAATCAAAAGGAAATTATTGCCACAGGAAACAGAAATAAAAAATTAGAAGTGTTAACAGTAAGTACATTTTTGTGAACCTCTACAGTAAAAGAAAGAGAACATTTTTCCTTGTAATTGTTGTTCAATGAGAAGTTCTTTCATATAAACATATGGTAAACATAATCATCATAGGAAGTAAAAGAATTTCAATTTATCTCCTTTTGCTGAATTTGTGTGCATTACAAAACTGTAAATTCAGGTTAAGTTTTAGAATTTGGCTTAGATCAAAATCTGCCTCAAGTACTACACATGCATTCAAGAAAAAAAAAAAAAAAAACAACCTCTAGACAAAGGGAACCTTAGCGTTATTCACCATTCTTAAAAATAAAAACGAGTCCAGGCATGGTGGCTCACACCTGTAATTCCAGCACTTTGGGAGGCTGAGAAGGGCAGATGACTTGAGGTCAGGAACTTGAGACCAGCCTGGGCAACATGGCAAAACCCTGTCTCTACTAAAAATACAAAAATTAGCTAGGTATAGTGGTGCACGCCTGTAGTCCCAGCTATTGGGACACTGAGGCATGAGAATTGCTTGAGCCCGGGAGGTGGAGGTTGCAGTGAGTCAAGATCATGTCATTGCACTCCAGTCTGGGTGATAGAATGAGACTCCATCTAAAAAATAAGTAAATAAAATAGAAATAAACATAAACACTGTATTTGTAAGTAGTTTATACATGTGATTGATCTAAATAAGTTCTTCAACCCTGGAGTTTCTTAGCAGATGTTAAAAAATCTAAACCCTAGAGTATGCAAACCATCTTCAAATTGGCTGAGGCTCATTCACTAAATGATCCATATAAATGACTGTACAAGGATAAGGCTGGTTCCAGGAAAAGCCAATGTAGAATGGAACAAGGAGGGCATTTTTAGTCTTCATTTCCTTTCTTCTCTCTGCTTACCTCCTCATAAACCAAGAACATTTCTAGCCGAATCCTAATTGACCACAATATTGTTTCATAAACTGGTTCTCTTTCAATGCTTCCTTCCTCTGCCTCTTCCTTTAGTAAACCAATGCCAGCTCATCTCCTGTATGAGTCTGCTTCATCTGCCATAACAAAATATGACAGCCTGGGTAGCTTAGACCACGTAAATTTATCTCTCACAGTGCTAGAGGCTGGAAGTCCAAGATCAAGGTGTCAGCAGATTTAGTTTCTTCTGAGGTCTCTCTCTTTGGCTTGCAGATGGCCACCTTCTTACTATGTCCTCACAGTCATCACTCAGCCTGTGCTGTTTGTGTTCTAGTCTCCAATTCTTAGAAGGACATCAGTCGTATTGGATTAAGGCTCACTCATGTGATCTCATTTAACTTAATCACTCTATCTCCAAATGCAGTCACACGCTGAGGTTAGGGTTAGGATTTCAACATATGAATTTTGGGGGACATATTTCAGCCCATAGCACCTCCCATACATGATAAGAGGGCGTGACAGGCAGACTGATGTGGGGGATGGGATTAGGAGGAGATACAAATAGCAGGAAGTCTTTTGTCTTGAGGCTGTTAGCCCTCTATAAATTAGAAAGATGAGGTAACTTATAAGAAGTCATCTGCTCAAAGTCTTCAATGCTTGTAAAAACAAATCTTCTCAAGCTGACTTTATTGCTAATACATTGTGCTTTTTAAAAGGAAACCACTGTATATGAGACTGTGTTTGATGGAGGAGCCATTGATCCAGGTATGGTGTTTAAATATCTTTTGAGTTAAGTGCATTTCACCTATTTAGATATTAAACTATGTGAATGAATTACTTATTCTTTTATAAAATGAGACTGTGTCCTAAGGAATACTATTTTAGGACCAGGCAGGTAAAATAAATGACTGTAAGGGGTCAGATAAAACAGTAAATTCAATCATCAATGGCAGCTAATGCTTGGGGGACGTGGCTGTCACTCAACTCCATCAAATTACTGGGAAGAGGCCTTGTGTTGCCATAATTTTGGTACTTCAAAAGGAAGCTAGAAATCTAAATTGTTACATGAAATCCACCCACCTTTAAAAGTAGTCAAATAATTCAATTAAACTCTACTGTGTAGGCCAAATAAAACGCATCTACCTCATTCCCTAGTTATATGTTGTGCAACAAACTTCCCCCAAGACTTACTAGCTTAGAATAACCACCATTTTATTATATCTCACATTTTAGTGTGTCAGGAATTTGAACAGGTTATCACCTGGACCTTTTTTGTTGTTGTTGTTGCTTTATAAAGGGTCACTTCAATGGTATTCAGCTGGCAGTCTGTCTGGTCTTGCAGGTCCACAGTGGCTTCACTCACAAGCATGATAGCTTGGTGGGAACAGTTACAGTTTGGCCCTGCTGGGTCCCACTTCCTCTTCATATAATCTCAGGGCCTGATATGGTTTGGCTGTGTCCCCACCCAAATCTCACCTTGAATTGTAATAATCCCCACATGTCAAGGGCGGGGCCAGGTGGAAATAATTGAATCGTGGGGTCAGTTTCCCCCACGAAACTGGTAGTGAATAAATCTCACGAGATCTGATAGTTTTATAAATGGGAGTTCCCCTGCACAAGCTCTCTTGCCTGCTGCCATGTAAGATGTGCCTTTGCTTCTCTTTTACTTTCTGCTATGATTGTGAGGCTTCCCCAGTCATGTGGAACTGTGAGTCCATTAAACCTCTTTCATTTATAAATTGTGCAGTCTCAGGTGTGTCTTTATTAGCAGCATGAGAACGGACTAATACAGAGACTCTTCATATAGTTGCTCCAGCAGGGATAGGTGAACCCCCTACATGGCAGTTTAGATCTCTTGGAGAAAGCCCAAGAGATAGGAGGGAAAGTTGTGATTTCTTGAGGATCAGGCCTAGAAATTGGCATAGCATCACTTCTGCTTCATTAAAGCAGTCAGAGTCTATCCAGATTCAAAGAGAGGAGCAGCACCCCACTTCTCAAGGTACGGGAGTCAAAGAATTTGTAGCCATCTTTAATCAACCACATCTATAGTCCAAATGGGTCATGGATTTGCAATCCCTGTTCTAAAGATTTATCTGTTATGATCCCTGGAATTGCCAAGCAGATCATACCTCCATTTTATAAAACATTTTGAAGGTTTTTTTTCATGCATTTCTTTCCTAAAGAAAGAGGCAGAAATAGAAAGTCATCAGAGTTATTGGAAAAGCCCTGGTATAGAGTTAGAAGACTAGGGTTTGAGTGTTGACACAACTACTAACACTCCATGTGAACATGGACAAAGCACTTAACCTCCCCGAGTCTCCCTTTCACTGGCTGCAAAGAAGGCACAACAGTGTGGGCTTTCTCTCTTTCATGGGGTGGTTGTGAAGTTTGAACAGGAATATAATAAAGTAAAAGTCATTTTGTAAACTGTCACTCAACATGAGGTATTAGCCATAGAAGACTCATTGGCACGATAACAGCTTGAGACACTTTACTGCAAGTTAAATCCTGACACCTCTGGATAGCTTGGCATGCAATTATTGATGCTTTATTACTGACTGCCAAGCTCTCCTTAAAGCAAGTCATTCCTTTAAAAAGTGTTTTGTAAAATTAAAAACATACTATTTATATCCTAATCTGATCTATATTAAATAACTTGGCCCTAATGAGTTCCAATTTCCAGGAATTCATTGAAAGCATACATGAACATTTATTGAGTGCTCACCTATGCTAAATATGACTTGTCCTATTGAAGTTCCAAACAATGAGAATTAACATTCTATTTTCATATTCTATCTTCCTGTGAAAGAAGTATCATTGTTGTCCCCATTTCATGGATATTAAAACAAGGCTTAGAGTCTAGAGTATGGAATAAATGTGTCTAGAGTAACATGGCTTTCTTTCCTTTCAAAGGGAGGAAAAGAGTTAGTGGAAATGTTTAGAGCAGAGATTTCATCTTAATAGTGGTAGAATAGAGTCAGATAAGGAGTAGGTAGCTAGGTCCTTAGGTACAAGGGCAGTAAGATGACTGTTGTGTGCCAGCTGTGGGTGGAGTGTCTTGTACCAGACTTCTCGGTGTAAGAATGGCAGAGCAGCCCGCAATGGACCTCCATGCCCTTCTCTGGGTTCTTTCTCTACTTTCTTCTTATTATTGGAACTGATAAAAATTACTGTATGCCATTTCTTGTTTCCTTCTTTAAAAAAGTATATATATATATAGGTTTTTTTATTATTATACTTTAAGGTCTGGGATACATATGCAGAACATGCAGGTTTGTTACATAGGTATACACGTGCCATGGTGGTTTGCTGCAACCATCAACCTGTCATCTACATTAGGTATTTCTCCTAATGCTATCCCTCCTCTAGCCCCCCACCTCCTGACAGGCCCTGGTGTGTGATGTTCCCCTCCCTGTGTACATATGTTCTCATGGTTCAACTCCCACTTATGAGTGAGAACATGTGGTGTTTGGTTTTCTGTTCCTGTGTTAGTTTGCTGAGAATGATAGTTTCTACCTTCATCCATGTCCTGCAAAGGACACGAACTCATCCATTTTTATAGCTGCATAGTATTCCATGGTGTATATGTGCCACATTTTCTTTATCCAGTCTATCACTGATGGGCATTTGGGTTGGCTCCAAGTCTTTGCTATTGTGAATAGTGCTGCAATAAACATATGTGTGTATGTGTCACATATGTGTGTATGTGTCTTTATAGTAGAACAGTTTATAATGCTTTGGGTATATACCCAGTAATGGGATTGCTGGGTCAAATGGTATTTCTGGTTCTAGATCCTGGAGGAATTGTCACACTGTCTTCCACAATGGTTGAACTAGTTTACACTCCCACCAACAGTGTAAAAGCATTCCTATTTCTCCACATCCTATTCAGCATCTGTTGTTTCCTGACTTTTTAATGATCACCATTCTAACCGGCATGAGATGGTATCTCATTGTGGTTTTGATTTGCATTTCTCTAATGACCAGTGATGATCCGTAAAAAAGTATATTTTATAAATACTCATTTAGTACTTACAAAGTACCAGGCTTGTTCTAAGCAGTTCATAATTATTAAGTTGTTTAAATCTTTATTGTGTTAAATATATACAACACAGAATTATCATTTTAACCATTTATAAATGTACAGTTCTGTGGCACTAAGTACATGCACATTGCTGTGCAACCATCACCACTACCTCCAGAACACTTTCGTCTTCCCTAACTGAAACTCTATACTCATTAAACAATAGCTTTCTGATCTCCCCTCCCCATAGCCTCTGTTAACCACCATTCTACTTTCTGTCTCTATGAATTTGACTACTCTAAGTACTTCATGTAAGTAGACTCATACAATATTTGTTTTTGTGTGGCTGGCTTTTTTTTACTTAGTATAATGTCTTTCTTCAAGGTTCATCTACGTTGCAGCATGTGTCAAAATTCCCTGCCTGTTTAAGGTAGAATAAACATTCCCTTGTACTTACATACCACATTTTGTTTGTCCAGTCATCCATCAACGGATTCTTGCATTGCTTCCACCTTTTGGCTAGTGTGAATAATGCTGCTATGTAATCTAGTTAATTTTAACATTATTATTCTTAGCAAACTGAAAATGTTTATATTTAACTATGCAGTTGCAGACTTCTTGCAAGATGTTTTTAGGGTATTTCTAATATCAAATTACAGTAAACATTTACTGAATTCTGAGTGTGGTCAAAATGCTTTTACATGAATTGTACATTCTGACAACTACTTATGAGGTAGTGACTAGTATTATCCTCATTTTATAAATGAGAAAACTGTGGCCAAGAGAGATAAGGCAACTTCCCTACAACCATATTTTAGTGAGAGGAAGGAGTCAGGATTAGAAGCCAGGCAGTCTGACGCAGAAACCTTTATCCCTAACACTATTCATGACCTCTCCTATCATTGAATGGCCTGACAAAAACCAGTGGATCAACAAAGACATGGCTTTAGGTACTTCCATTTTCAAGAGAAAAAAACAAGTGTACAAGATCTAATAAAGACAACAAGCTATTGCAGTCACTTTTTGTTGATTCAGTGTTTGACAGATACTCATCACCTTTGGTCTACTCAATAGGAGGACATTGTTACTGTATGTTTGGATGGATACATTTGACTTATTTTGAACCTGGATGTTTGATGTGTACCTCAGCAATTGGTTTTCAGTTCCAACATGAACTGTTGAATGAGGGTATAGACTTTTTGGTGGTATAGATTTTTGTGTGTGTGAAGGAAGGGAAATGCATTGTCCACTTTAGTACAGTGGTCCTGGAAGAAGAATCACCTTTCAATTAATGTATCTTTGAGAGCAGACTTAGCACTGTGAAGTTTCACATGACATTTAAAGAAGAAAAATACTTTAAAATAAAAATAGGTTTAGCTATATTTGTTAGAACGTACTATCGTTTATCAAATGTTCTGTGGAACCTAAAATATGATGCATAAGGTACTATTTTGTTCATGGAGCCCAACCTAAAGTGAGATAAGACGTGGCCCCCTGCCCTAGGTTGTTAGTATTTGGAGTCTGCAGCCGGACTGCTGGGATTCAAATCTAGGTCTGTCACTTATAGATGATGTGGTATTGGCAGATTACTTAACATATCTGTGCTCCAGCTCTCTTATTTCTAAAATGTGGCAAATAATATTTACTACCTAACAAGGACATTGAACAGATTAAATAAATTGATATGTGGAAACAGAGTCTGGCATATAGTAAATACTATAGGATCAGTTATTACTGTTATCATTGTTCTTTTCATTCATTAATTACACCTCAGTCACCTAAGAAATAATTGGTTGATTTCCTACTATATCAGGCCATTTTTTTAACCTTATTTCTTTTCTCTTGTATATTACTGTTACTACATTATTGTTTCTGTGAAGGGTTGGCTAATTAAACCTCAGACCCTATACATGGCAGATTAATTTCAATTAAAAAACCCATTTGACTTAAAAAAACTTTTGCTTTTCAAACAATTACAAACTCACAAAAAATTACAAAAAAAAAAAAATAATACAGAGAGGTACTGTGTACCCATTACCCAGCTTTCCCCACAGGTCACATCTTTCATTACTATAGCACATTGCCAAAATCAGGAAATTGACGTTGGTACAACACAACAAACTAGACCACAGACTTTACTAAGATTTCCCCAGTTATTGCGTATATTTATTTTTATATGTCTATGTGTATGACATTTAATTACCTTTATAGATCCAGATAACTACTACCACTATCAAGATGCAAAACTGTTCCGATACCACAAAATAACTCCCTTGTGTTAAAGGGGCAATTTTTAATGCATATGAAACCACATACTGCTTCAGGTTCTGCTTCTAGTTTTTCCTTTGGTAAGAGAACAAGACTTGAGAAAATAAACTCATCACTATGCCAGCTATCTAGCAAATGCTCAATAAAACATTTCATGGGAAAAATAAATGCTTTGCAAGTTCACTGTAATTCACTTTGTCTGTGTTTTGTTTTTTCCTTTCCACAGTCTCTGGGAATGTATATGAATATAACAGCAGAACAGGTGCAAGAAAGTGGAAGAAGACCTCCAGGCACCAGAAGGAGCCCTTGGCAAACACACATTCCCTTCCAGAGGTCCATCCTTTAGAGGAGTCCACATCCTTAAACATTCCTTTGCAAGGATAGCATTTTTCCAGTGCCTGAATGATTGGTTTTTTGTGTATATGATTGTCACAGGCAGTTTTTCTTGGCTACCTAAAATTATAGACATGAGGCCAGCTGCTTTGTCTGTGTTTATAGCTTTCTGTGAGCTTCCATTTCAGGGTGTCTGTGTGAAGGCGGCAGGAGTGGTGAGCTTTGAATCTCTGAACATGTTTTCCTGAAAACGAGATACTAAATTGACATATGTTCATTGTCTTACTCTGCCCAGTACAGTGTGTGCTTTTTAAGATCAGAGACTATTTTTCTCACTGCTTCAGCCCCAGTACATGCTTGGCACAGAGTGGGGACTCTCTATACATTTGTGAATAAATAAATTTGAATATATGAATTCAGATATCTTGCCTTTAATTCAAATTGCTTATTTCTCCATGACTCATGGAACAGAAATGGGAATTATCTTTAGAAAATAACTTTTTTGGTGTCTGGTAATCATTAAAAAAATCAGGATTTTTTTAGCACTTTTCAAAAGCACAACTGATCTTGCTTTTAATTTTCTTTTTATAGCCCTATAGAGAATAATCACCTGAAAATTTTACTTATTAGTGAATTGCCAAGGAAATGTCAAAATCAAGTCTTATGAGAGCTATGTACTTAGACAATAAGTTTTAAATGGAATCTCTGATTATCTCCTGCCTTGGATATCAGAAGATATACGATAGAAGGAGGCCAGAAATGCTGTTGATGGTAGAGGCTAAATTTACATTTACTCCATGATGGAGTTCAGCTTGGAATAATTTTTTTTTTTTTTTTTTTTTTTTTTTTTTTTTTTTTTTTGAGACGGAGTCTCACTCAGTCGCCCAGGCTGGAATGCAGTGGCCGGATCTCAGCTCATTGCAAGCTCCGCCTCCCGGGTTTACACCATTCTCCTGCCTCAGCCTCCCGAGTAGCTGGGACTACAGGCGCCCGCCACATCGCCCGGCTCGTTTTTTGTATTTTTTAGTAGAGACGGGGTTTCACTGTGTTAGCCAGGATGGTCTCGATCTCCTGACCTCGTGATCCGCCCGTCTCGGCCTCCCAAAGTGCTGAGATTACAGGCTTGAGCCACCGCCCCCGGCCTTTTTTTTTTTTTTTTTTTTTGAGACAGAGTCTCTCTCTGCCATCTAGGCTGGAGTGCAGTGGCGCCATCTCAGCTCACTGCCAGCTCCGCCTCCTAGGTTCACGCCATTCTCCTGCCTCAGCCTCCCGAGTACCTGGGACTACAGGCGCCCGCCACCATGCCCAGCTAACTTTTTGTATTTTTAGTAGAGTCGGAGTTTCTCTGTGTTAGCCAGGATGGTCTCAATCTCCTGACCTCGTGATCCACCTGTCTCAGGCTTCCAAAGTGCTGGGATTACAGGCGTGAACCACTGCGCCCAGCCAACTTGGAATAATTTTTTAAAAATTAATCTTATCGAAAGCAAAACATATAATGAGCAACGAACTATTTGACTCAGAGGATATTGGGGGCTTGGATGATAAGAAATGTCTTATTTATCTTCCTTTGCATGTATACACACAGAGGATTCCTTTTCAGCTCAGAGACACAACCGGCCTCCTAATGAAAGAGAGCATCTGAAAGTAAACAGACTCATTTTTTCTTGATGTCTACCTCAAATGGGTCGATTCTCAGGAGGCATTATGGTGCAAAGGACATCGGTGAATTTGAAGTTTAAGGCTTGTGGCAAATCTCGTAGCCTCTCTAAACCTTGTTGTTTCTTCTTCCGGAAAATGTATACAATAATATCTGCCCCATTTCTATCCCATAGTTTTGTCATGGGAAACAACACAAAACAATTAAGGTTCCACCTTTGGCAGTGCTTTTTAAACTGTAAGCACTATTTTAAGCATAAAGTAGGATCAGTTTCATTAAATCAAAATTGGTTGCTGAGAGAGCAGTGGCTTGGGACATGGGAACACAGAGGGGGTCACTCCATGGTTCTAGGCCAATCCAAGTTGGAATTAGTTGATAATTAGTTGCACAACGTCTGTGAAAGGAGTATACTTCTTTTTTCCAGATGGCATGATAATTTCCAACCAGGGGAGAGACCAAAGATTGTCTGGGAAAATGCTCTTCTCTCTCCAACAAGGCTCTCTCTGGATCAATTATGATTTGATGGATATACATGTGTGAGTCTCCACCTGCCACCACCTGGGCTTTTAAGAAAAAAAAAAAAAAAAAACAGCATTTATTAACTTTGTTTTCAAAATTGGATTGAATCAATTTGTATTCGATCTGCCTCTGCCCAAACCAAGAAAAATCGGTAAGTTAGTGTTTGTTTTCCCTTGTTTAGTTGTTTTGGGTCTCAGTTTCAGATGTATCTGGGAGAATGAATGCATGAACTGGAGATGACAGTCGTCATTGGAGAGAGAGCTACAAAGAGTGTCCACAGGGGCAGGACTGTGCAACCTGACCCCTCTTTGTGTCATAATCAATTTGACTCCAAACTCCAGATGCTCTCTCCTGTTGTACTGACCATCTTCAATTTAGTAATAATCATTGTATTAGCTTCCTGAGGCTGCCATCACAAATTAGCACAAACTTAGTGTCTTAAAGCAACAGAAATGTATTCTGTCACAGGTCTGCTGGCTAGAATTCCGAAATGAAGTTTTTGGCAGGACCACATGGCCTTTGAAGGCTCTAGGGGAAAATCTGTTCCTTGCCACTTTCAGCTCCTAGTGTCTGACCCTGATTCCTAGACCGTGGCTGCATCCCTCTAATCTCAGTCTCCCCCTTCACATCTCTTTTCCCTTTGTGTATCTATCAAGTTTCCCTCTTATAAGAATGCCTATCTTTGGATTTAGGGCCCACCTACAGAACCAGGATAATCCCTTCATCCCAAGATTCTTACATTAATCACATCTGCAAAGACCTGTTTTCCAAATAAGATCATGTTCACTGGTTCTGGAAATTAGGAAATAAATACATCCTTTTGGTAGGGTCACAATTAAACTATTACAGTTTAAAAATAATTTAATATTTGTAATAAATCAAGGCAATCTTTCTGATAGATAATATAACTGTTTCAGTTTTAATAAGTATTTATTGAGTGCCTACTAAGTACCAGAACATTTTCAAGGCTTTTAATCAATAAAAATGCAAATATCTTTGACTTGGCCATTTCACTGCTTGAAATTTCCCTGTAGAGGTTCTTACAAAAGATCTACAAAATGTATTTAGGTATTTGCTCTTGATAGCATTATTTGTAAGAGAAAAACAACTTGAATAAAATAAAAATGTCCATTAATAAGAAATTGGTTGAAAAATCATATCATGTCAGTATTATGGAATGTACAATGTGGCTATTAGAAAGAATTAGGTTACATAAGCAGAATATAAAGAAAAATAATTAAGCATGTATTGATATGATGATATATTAAGTAATAAAGTTGGATAAACTACAGAATTATTATTAATATAAATTAAAAAATAAAAATAAGTATAGGTATATGCATAAACTTTAGAGGGTTGTAAGAAATTCAGGAAACTATATTAATCATTATTAAATGATTCCTTTTTCCTAGAAAAGTCTAGGGGAGGAAAATGCAGAAGACAAAGTAAGATTTTTACTTTCTCATTCATAGTTTTATGTACCACTGAATTTTCTAACCTTGTACAAATATTATTTCTATTCTTTAGTAAAATAAGTAGGGATTTTTTGGTGGTAATAATTTAGGGCATTATTTTCTTTTTAAATAAAGACACAATTTTTCAACATCATGATCAGACTATTACATTTGGCAGTCAACAGCATGGGTGCAAAAAATATCTATATTAAACCCTTTATTGGAATGCTTTATACTTTCCACAGAGAAGAAACTAAAATAACCTGTTATATGGTTAGTCACAAATACAGTCCTTGAGTGTTTTGCCCACACACATGAGTATTTGTCTAAAACATGCCTTCTTTGTAGCAGCTAAGCCTTGCCACCACTGTGTATGGTTGAGTAGTATTCTATGGTGTATACCTATATATAGTTTATAATATATATTTATAAGATACATAATAATGTATAATTTATTTATTATATATAATTTATATATATTAGTATATAATTTTCTTTATCCACTTGTTGACTGATGGGCATTTGGGCTGGTTCCATATGTTTGTAATTGCAAACTGTGGTGCTATAAACATATGTGTGCAAGTATCTTTTTTGTATAATGACTTCTTTTCCTCTGAGTAGATACCCAGGAGTGGGATTACTGGATCAAATGGTAGATTTACTTTTAGTTCTTTAAGGAATCTCCATACTGTTTTCCATAGTGGTTGTACTAGTTTACATTCCCACCAACAGTGTAAAAGTGTTCCCTTTTCATCACAACTCTGCCAACGTCTATAATTTTTTGATTTTTTGATTATGGCTGTTCTTTCAGGAGTAAGGTGGTATCACATTGGGGTTTTGATTTGCATTTCTCTGATCATTAGTGATTTTGAGCATTTTTTAATATGTTTGTTGGCCATTTGTATATCTTCATTTGAAAATTGTCTATTCATGTCCTTAGCCTACTTTTTTATGAGATTGTTTGTTTTATTCTTGCTAATTTGTTTGAGTTTCTTTTAGATTCTGGATATTAGTCTTTTGTTAGATGTATAGATTGCAAAGATTTTCTCCCACTCTGTGGGTTGTCTGTTTATTCTGCCAATTATTTCTGTTGCTGCACAGAAGCCTTTTAGTTTAATTAAGTCCCATCTATTTATCTTTGTTTTCATTGTATTTGCTTTTGCATTCTTGGTCACGAAGTCTTTGCCTAAGCCAGTGTTTGGAAGGGTTTTTCCAATGTTATCTTCTAGAATTTTTATGGCTTCAGGTCTTAGATTTAAGTCTTTGATTCATCTTGAGCTGATTTTTGTATAAGGTGAGAGATGAGAATCCAGTTTCATTCTTCTGCACATGGCTTGCCAATTATTCCTGCACTGTTTGTTGAATAGGGTGTCCTTTCTCCACTTTATGTTTTTGTTTGTATTGTTGAAGATCAGTTGACTTCAAGCATTTGGCTTTATTTTTGGGTTCTCTATTCTGATCCATTGGTCTATGTGCCTGTTCTTACACCAATACCATGCTCTTTTGGTGACTATGGCCTTATAGTATAGTTTGAAGTCAGGTAATGCAATGCCTCTAGGCTTGTTCTTTTTGCTTAGTCTTGCTTTGGTTATGTGGGTTCTTTTTTAGTTCAATATGAATTTTAGGAGGTTTCTTCTAGTTCTGTGAAGATTGATGGTGGAATTTGATGGGAATTGCATTGAATTTGAAGATTGCTTTTGGCAGTATGGCCATTTTCACAATATTGATTCTACCCATCTATGAGCATGGGATATGTTTCCATTTGTTTGTGTCATCTGTGATTGTACTT